TGTGTGTGTGTGTGTGTGTGTGTGCGTGTGTGTCAGCCCGCCTGCCTGTCAGACTGTCTCCCTGCCTGTCTGGTCTGTCAGTCTGTCTGGTCTGACCCACTCAAAGGGGACAGCTCTTTGAATGCAATTCATACCTCACAAGAAAAGACAGGTAAAACAAATCATGGTGAGGAAGAATGAAAGTTTGTGTGCAAAAGGTGTCCTTCTGCACTCACAAGAATAAAAAAAACAACAACATATTATACAACAGTCTTGGGGCCTCCTGAGGCCTTTCGCTCACTCTCAAAGGTGTTTCAGAGCAACAAATGAGCTCATTAGCTCACAGGGATGACTGCGGTCTGCAGCAAGTGTGAGATGCATTTCTCCAGAAGTTTAAACAAACTCTTTAGAAAGGAGGGTCGCAGCATACTTCAGTAGATTACACTGGGCAATCCCCTTCAGTGGACAAAAACTAGCTTAAGATAAGAGGTCAGCAGGGTAAGCACTGACAAGAGCATCCTGGTAGAAGATGAGTCACCAACAAAATATCTACATTAGAGGGTCTCCCAAGAGCTCCTGAGATCTGCTTCAATACATTTATCTGTGCTTTATAAAAATATGACACTATTTTAAAATAGAATTTGGTCAACAAATGTCAGTAATCCAGTCAGTATGCATTACACTGTAAGCGACCAGTAAGCCCAAGGTCCCTTCTTTAAATGGAAGAAATTACTATTTAGCTAAAAAATTATTTAACAGATGAGCAGCAAACCATCACATATAAACAACAGAAACCAGATGTTTGTTTATTCAGATGACTGCTTACCATTAAAATAAAATCTTAATTAAAATCTGGGATGGAAAACTAAGATGTTGAACAGAATTAGAAAGTAAGCGTGAAAAGTGTTTGTGTAGTAGAAAAATATTAGACGTATCATTCAATAAGGGAAGAAAGGGGGAAATAACAGAGACACTCTTGCATACAACACAAGGGAAGTCTTGCTGCTTGTGTGCTCAGTAATGCTCTCCTGCAATCTTGTCCTAAATCTGAGCTGTCAGAGAAAACTGAATCAAGTGCACGCATAGCTACTGTTTGTACAAGCTGAAACCTCTGTCCCTTCTGTTCATGGTTTAGTCATAGGTGGGGGTTTTTTGTTTTGTTTTTTTAAATGCCTCATACTTTCTTTTTTTTTTAAAAGAGCAGATAACTGACAAAAATAACATCTCAAAACTGAAACCAGAAACATGGTTAGCCACAAGCCTTGATACCTAAATTAACTGAAAGATTCTTTCACACAACATTTCTAGTCAATATAAGCTTGTCGGCCTTAAAGGAGAGATATTTATAAAAAATATTTTAAGCCTGTAATCAGCACCAACAAGTAATAAGCTCCACTATTAAAATACAAGTGATAGTGGCTACTTAAATTATTTTTAAAAATGTACCAGGAGTGTGCTCTTTCACATATTATGTAACACATTCAGTTATTTGTCATTACATGCTGCAATAGTGTAGCTTGCATTGTTATAAGCTTGTGTACCTGTATGTGTGTGAGTACTTTGGCAGGTACCTCATATTCTTAGGTCTGTCTGTGGGTAGCTTGTTGTTGTGATTTGGCACTGTATAAATAAAATTGAACTGAAGTGAAAGACAGTGCCAACAACAGTACTAATCACACACACAAAACTTTACAGATGAGATCTAAATGAGGCCGAGTTTGAGATTGTGTGTGGTGCGGCGAGTATTTGCATTAAAGTGTAGTAATGCCTTCTGATCACCAGACAAGGTTTTTCCTGGCTCAAAATTGACCTTTTGGGGATGACGCCACATACAGGTAAGGTGAGAGTATTGGGTATCTTAGATATCTTAGTTATTTTTAAACAACTGATAAATGAAAAAGCGAGTCGGGTTAAAGACTAAATTTAACCCTACATAAAAACTGACTGATAGTTTTATCACTGTGCGAGTGGTTTTTCTGTGGTGTGGTAAACACTAAAATTATGCTGGAAAAACCTTGCAAGATGGTCACTATTGATTTTCTAGTCTGTTGAGTGCATCTGACCTGAGCTTGCTCTCACTGCATTTATTGCCCATTTTTTGCCCGTTTCTTTTGTTTTCATATACCTGTAAATATTAACTGTGGTCAAGTGGGACTGCACTAAGATTGGATCAAAGTGGCTGCATCACCCGTCAACACGCTGGCATTAAGTATGCATGGTAGTTATTACTGCATTATTACCAAGCATGATAGAGTAGCTATTATTGGTTTCTACTTGTGATTCTGTGTGTGTCATCATGGTAAAATGTACCATAGAGATACCTCAAACTGAATTTCGAAAATGCTGACAGTTGTTTGTATATGTGTCTGTGGGCAAATTTTGCCAGTGCAGTAATGTCACAAAAGCTGTAAGGCGCTGACACAAAACATTACATATCTGTATTCTTCAGCGAAATAACGGTTAAGTCAGGAGATGGGTGTGGTCCAACTCATGAGTGCTGAATACTTAGTACTAATGAGTCTAAATGTCAGTATTCTGGCATGTGTCACAACCTGTGTGATCCCACTGCAAGATGGTCTCTAGTTATAGGGCTCATGGGCTGGATCACACAAGTTTACCAGCTTGGCATCAACTACAAACCTGCCACATTTCATGGCTTTATCTGTTATTTTGGCAAAACCTGTTCCCAAATATACACATTTTGGCACATTCCAAAAAGGTTTTTACCTTCAATACAAAGAAAAGTCACCAGGACTGTAATATTTAAAAAAACAAAACAAAACCCAGTAGTCTTGGTAAATGGGGGTTGATTTACTCAAACTTAAAATACATGTTTGTTTATCAAATAATCAAATAATTCTGATAAGGAAGTTACCACTCTTTGCATTGGCTCTATGTGGACCAATCACACTTACAGCCACCTCACAAAATCCAACTTCCACCCATGAAAAAACAAACAAACCCAAAACTCAATGCATGCACAAAAGCACCTGCCAAAATACTCAAAACTAATTCTGTGGTAGTTCCTGCAACAGTAGGTGTCCTGGGACTGCATTTTTAAACTATGATACACATGCATATCTTTTTGGACAATCTTCATAGAGTTAAAATACTCCCTAACCCCTTACCCTCACATTAACCATCACAATTAAAGTGCTAACCCTAACCTACCTCTACCTCAAAAAATAAATAAATAAAAACAAAAAACAACTTTTGAACCCCAAACTGCCTTTTGCCTAATTCCTGGTTCTTTAAAAGCTGTCTGGCAACACAAATATCATTAGTTACGATGTTTATATCCTACAAATATAGATAAAACAAACAAACAAACACACACGGAGAGAGAGAAAACTCACAATGCTTGCCTCGCAGCGTGATCATGTCAACCGACCCTAGTATACACGGATAGCGCAAGTGTCATCAATAAAACTCGTGAAATAGTAAGAGAGACAATACCTGAAATACCTACAGTTAACTTTGAAGGGGTTGGTCTGTTTTCGCCTGGACATATTACTGCCCAAACCGGTTGGAAAAATTGAAAAAAAGAAAAGAAAAAAAGAATATCCTAACCCCGGACGGTCCAAGTATGTTCAGAGGGAGCAGATGATGAAGAAAATAATAATATAAAAAAATCAAATCGTTTAGATCAGAAACTGGGTCGTTTTCGGAGATTAAAAAATAAAAAAAACGGGCACATTTAAGAGTCACATTCTTGCGGTCTTTTTTGTTGTTGTCTTTTTTAAAAGCCCCTTCTTCAGCCGATTATCGGGTTAAGACGATGTCCAAGCCCGGACAGAGAGACTCCGAGCAGCTCCGAGCTGCTCCGATCCCGATCCGCTGGCACCCGCGCACAACTGCAGCGCAGCACGAGCTCAGCTGATATCTAAACGTAAAAGGAATGAAGCTAACGTCGAACAGCATTGTGGGATGTGTAGGGACGCAGGGGAGTTCAAGTGAAAGATACTATGCTGCATTCAGGTCGTGTGGGAGAAAAAAACCCGACCATGTTCAAATATCAATTTAAAGTAAGTAAATTTCTGTGGGCGGTTTTGACGAAGCAATGATTCCTATTTAACTTCATAAGATCTGTAACTATAACCTGACAATGACACCTCAACTAATAACTAATAAATATCCATCCAAGGACTACTCAGCACATCACATCCCCAATAAACACTATCATAAGAACTCACCCACGCATCTGAAATCTACCGAAAATAAATGAATAAATAGATAGATAAATAAAACATAAAAACAAACCCATAATCTGAAAGGACTTTGAAGGACTAATGTGTCAAATCATATTCTTAGGTTAAATTATTGTTCTAATCATATTCTTGTATTATGAATATTGTTATTAAATAGAAAGGGGAAATTAATGTTCAAGCAATTATTTTGCACTTACACATTTGATAAGTCAGTTACACTTTTGAGTTCATGTTGCCATTAGACAAAGAGTACAAACACAACATACAACGGGATGCTGCATCCTGTCACAGTGACAAAGTAAACTTTTTTTCCTGCTGTATGGCCAAATGAAGAAACTGACAACATACAGAAGCCTTCTAGAGTGATTCTGGACAACCAAATTAAAAAAAGAAAAGTACAGTATGCAACAAATAAATAGCACATCTTTAGATTTACAACAAACAAAAAACTAAACTGAAAACTGCAACGACTCAGTTCTGTTTAGTCACAGATATACACTCAGTATTTCTGTAACTTACATTATACAATATAAGTCTTTTGTTTTACACAATGAAATTATGTGAGAGCGGCAGTCCAGGGAGTGTGCTAGGGCCTCATAGGAGAATTTTTACAATAAATACACAATAAATACGATTAACAGGGATATATTTTTAAGATTACCACTAAAGTGTATAGATAAACCTATAGGATAGAGGTACTTTTATAGGCTAAATAAAATGATCATCCAGTCCTTCACTTTCCTTGAGTGAAGTGTGTGTGTGTGCCAATCTATTGCAGGGCTAACCCATAGAGACAACTATTCAAACTCATATTCACACTTGAAGCTAATTTAGGATCACCAGTTAATCTAACCCCATGCATGTCTTTGACCTGTGGGAGGAAGTTAAGAGTTTTCGGAGAGTGAACCCCCCATACAGATGTGGAAAGAACACCCAGAAAGGCCTCAGTCTGAATTTAAACCAAGAAGCTTCTTGCTGTGAGGCGACAGTGCTATTTCAAATAATTAAAAAAAATACATGAACATTTACTTTTTATTATGCATATATTTTTTATTCTAAAATGCACAGAGATGCCTCCACTGATTGGACACTGACAAAGCTGAGGGTATTTTTCTGTTACAAAAGCCTTACTATTTCTGAGCCTCTCGCATAGTTTGTGATACCTTTGTGCTCCCTCTAGCCATAATAGGAAGAAAAAGTAGTGCTACAATTGATCATGACACTTGTAATTTCATTTTCAACTCTCTTTCTAACTGCATATCCTACAGTCAACACTAGATGTCGCTACAAACCGTTGGACTGTCAATGTCATAACATTGCATGTAGTCGTCATCACTGACTGCCACGAGTAAACTGACCGCAGCACCACATTGACCGGGTGAAAATGTACTCTTCCGCACGCTCGAGCAAAAATATGCCATCTCAACAAAATAATCTCGTCAGGTCATGAAATCGCCTTTGTGAGGCAAGTGGCAGATGACACACATTCAGACGCAAACGGCACGTCACGTTATGCACAGTTATTTAGATATCCAGTCAGTGAGTACAACGGGATAACATCAGCTAGCTGGCTAATGATAACAAGCCTAACGTTAGCCCATTATAGTTACTGTGAGAACGATGGAAGCGAACAAGCCACACAGCAATTAGTAAATGATAAGAAAGGGTTGAGTACAGTCACCTACCTACATCTCCCATCATAATGAAGACATAATTCAACTATTACCCATGTTGTCCAGTGAACATATGAGGCAGGAGTCTCGAGTAAGGGGCACAGACTGTGATTAAGTCCTCCCGTACAGCTAACGTTACTGTACGCTGATGATAAACATGAGCTCTTCTTTCGCGAACCCCTTGCGATCTGTCAGTGTAACCCTCCGCCTGCGGTAGATGTGCTGAGGCTGGAGTAGCCACCATTTTGCATGTCTAGTGTGTTCCTCCCTCCATTGCTAATAGAGACGATTTCAGTCATTTTCTGGCATCATTACGGCTAGTAAGTACATCCTAGCAACAATATGTCGGCATAAATTTGGGGAAATGGCTTTGCCTGTGAGTAGTTGTCCGCGGTTTGACTGTATTTACGTTGACAACTGTCACTGTGGCGCTGCATAGGAAGTCGCAGCCCTTAGTGCACCGGGGCTGTGCTAAGTTAGCTAGCATGTTTAGCATAGTTATAGTCTTGCTGCACTAGGGATGTGTAGCTCAGCAGTATGCTGTGTCCACTAAATCAAAGTCATCAAGGCAACGCGCAGTGACAATGTATTATTTCCTGTCTTTCTAACTAGCGGGCACAAGTTGCATTTAATTCAGAGAGTATTCGGTTAAGGTAATGAAGAAGCAAGCTAATGGTCAGGTGGCTACGTTAGCTTGATAATCCAAATGCCTCAAGAAGGCCTAAACTGCATTATGTCCTGATCAATCGGCGATCAGAGTCAGGTGTAATGGCCTGCCTCTGATTGTATACAGCTGATGATGTAAACTTTAATGTAATACAGCGCCAGCTAAGATGAAGCTACTCCTGTAGTGTCATCATGATATCTTGCCCTTTTAAGATGCTACTAAATTAGCTAGTTGTTAGCTGGCTCTTCAGAGGTGTGATTTGCGTTTTCTAAGTCATATTAAACATGTGACACTTCACGGCGTGGTTATTAATACAGTTAGACTTTCCTAATATGTAACCAACTGTAAGCGTTTAATCCATAAGTTAGCGTTTAATTGAAATACCAAGGAAGCTAACGATAGCTAGCTTGGTGTTCTGAGGACGTGGACTTGGGTTTTTGTCCAGTTTCGTGAGATGGTTAATTAGTGTTGACAAGCTGTTAAATGAGAAGAAAATACCTAGACACGCGCTTTTTTTGTTTTTATAACTGCGTTATCAACGTCCAAGTTTAATTCATTTTCCAGGATCACTTTACATGTAAGTGTTAAGGAAGTCAGGTGCAAGTAGGAAGTGAGCAAATGAGGTGACGTACAGTATGGGTGATTTCTCTACGGGTTTTGACAGGAGCTGTAAATTACGCCTCCACAAGCTTAGGTCGAAGTAAGCTCTTCAGGTCCACTGTTTGTGGCACCGACACACAAAACCAGTCTTGATAAACTACAAGCCAAGTGTATTGCAACGCCTTTGACGCGCAGTTTACTTTATCTGTATTCTTGACGTGGGCTTTCGAGGGATTCCGGACCAACTGTACTGATACGTTTGAAGGCCTAATGAAAATCAACCTGTTAAGTGTATAATTTTACTTTCCTCACAGTCAAGTCACACGCAGTACTGTAGATTCCAGCCATATTCAGTTCCTACTGGCTTCACTTTATAAAACTAAATATGCAGTATGTTGTCCTGCATTACCTTTTCTGTTCACATGTATTGTCTGTTATATGGGGTAGATTATTATTATTGTTATTAGCTGTAGTTAGGTGAGAGTTAATGATTAAAAAGTCATATTTAGTTGTAGCAAAGGAATAGCCAGGATGCATTATTATAGAACGGCGCATAATGTTGTGCTTGAAACATGCAGTTATGACCTTAATTAAAAACATTTAACCTTTACCTCTAATGGCAGTGATGCCATGCATAAAATGTACTCGAGCAGGTGCATTATAAGCAGGGTTAGCGTGCATTAATCACACAGCACTGAAACAACTTAACATGATCACTGTGTCTGCATATCAGTGCCCCACACAATGTGAAATCAGATAGCTCCAGGCTTTGCCTCAGGGCTATTTAAGATCTTTTGGTTTGGTTTCCAGTTTAGGATTCATTTTGACTCCACATCAATGTCATTTGGCCAACCTAAGTACTGAGTGAGTTAGCACTGTCTCTGTGTCTTGTTTGGACAGAAACTGATTAGTCTTTATGGTTTTACCCTAAGTAAATAGCCGCACAAACTTAGTGATAAATAAGGTACTGTAAATGCCATTTGTTATTTTGTCTTTTTTCCTCCTCATTTTAGCATTGGGGTTGTTGCACATTTTGCCTCTGATTAGTTTTGAGCAGGAAAAGCTTACCAAAGACCCGTTCTAAGCAGCGCTAGTTTCCAGCAGGCTTTGTCAATTTGCAGGCTGACAAAGCTAAATTAAGAAGTGCTTAGCTTAACTGACTCCAACTGATGGTGAAGGCACACACAGACCTTTGTAGATCTCCTGTGTGCCTTCAGAGTCTCTGAACTTAAAGTTGATCTCATTATTGGCTCTTTGATGGCTCTTTTGATCCTCAGTCAAAAAAAAGCAATTTCTCTATTTTCAGTGTTGTCTTCAGCAGGTTAAGATCTTTTAAGTGGTAGAAGAAAGGCGTGGTAGCTGCAACAGTAAAATGACTATTTGCAGTTGCACATAGATGTAGAAATCGGCAGGCTTTTTGATCTGTCTGATCTCTGCATGTTTGCTAAGAGAGGAAAACAAAATCTGGAAAACCATAAAGGTCTGGAGTGAGTACATGTAAAACACCCGACAGAATATTTTGACTATTACGAGTGCTTCTTCCCCATACACAAGTACGGTACTCAACATTTGAATGTGCACATAGGAACCAAGGTGTAAATGTAATCCATGTCAAAGCTGATACTCACGTTTGAACTTCAGTGTTTAGTTATTTGTAGCTCTGTAAAGCCGAGCATCTATAGTTGGTTATAAAAGAAGCAGTAGAATAGTCTGTGTTGGTATTATTTAATTTAGAACGTCTTGATGTCTAGCTGAATGGTGAGAGGAAGAAAAAAAACAAAAACCCTATGCAGTCTGCCAAAGTTTGCCAGTCACAGCTCTGTATATAGTTCTTTTTGGAGCTGTCTGACCTTTTTGTCTACTTTAAATGTGCAGTTCTTAGGACAGCATAAATGGATGTTACATCATGCTTTCTATTTCTACCCATACAGTGCTTGTGGCATTTAGGAATATAATCTAAAACCACAAAAAAAAAAAAGGTGGTTCTTTGTGTCTCGACAGGGTGACTGCTCCCTGTGGTAAATGGGAAGTGTTACGTGCTTTTTAACCTGTTGCTGGTTGTCAGGCTTTTTGAAAACAGATTTGGGTTAGCTCTTCTATGAATGTTTCAGTGTATGCAAAACATGTCAGCAGATGCATGTGATAACTCATAGTGTTAGGCTTTTATATGGTCTGAGGAGTGTAAAAATGTCCAAAGCAATTTGGATGCAGTATAACAGCTGTTCTTCTTGTATATAAATATTATCAGGGTTTATCCTAGCTCGAAATGGGCCTTTGAGGGGTTGTTGCCTTACAAAATAGAAGTTGCTCCATTTTCTTGTTATTTCTGGTTATTTGATAAAGGAAAAAACAAAGTGTTGTTTAGTGAATTAAGCCTCCCGAAACTCATTTAAGGCCAAAAACCTTTGATAAGAACAGAAACAATTTTACAAAATTTGGTCTTTGTAGTGAGGAACAATAAAGTGAACTAAAAGCTGTCGCTCGACAAGTGTTGAACAAGCTTGCTTCCCCACCGCAGTTTCACATTCATCTGTGGATGAGAAGGCAAACTACACTGTTCATCTGAAGGCAATGTCAGTAATTTGCAATTAAAATTGATATTTTGTTTGTAGAAGAATGTGCTGCTGTTTTGCAACTGCAAGAATGTGAAACTGTAATTTAATCAGCTCTCAGCAGTGGCTGGATTTACGTTCTTTAATGTGTACACATTTGATTATGAGCACAGCAAGAGTCGGGGAGCCATGATTAATGGAGCCCAACACTGGGTCCATTCAGTGCAGGTAATTTAAACGGTGTTAAGATGAACAGTAAGTCTCTGGCTTTATTAAAGTGTGGCCTTGCCTGACCACCCTTCCTATTCTTCTTTGATCAAAGTGAATTCTTAGATTGTCCACAAGCCACCACCTTACTCAGCAAAGGATGTTCTCATTCCTCCTGTGTGTGTGTGTGTGTGTGTGTGTGTGTGTGTGTGTGTGTGTGTGTGTGTGTGTGTGTGTGTGTATCCTTATTTCCTTCAGACTGGCATAATTTCAGAGGATTTCCTTTGATCCCACAAGTGTTAGCGTTAATAACGAAATGTTAAGGAGTTTTTTCCGCCCCTCTTTATTCATTCAGATGAAAAAAATCTAGCTTCCGCTGAATACTGGCCAATGTAATCAGGTATATTGTAGACAGATGTAAAGTTTGTATTTGGTTACATAAAAGCCTGTTCTAAACAGTCAGAGATTGTACATTTCTTGTTACACTGACAACATAAGATTTCCATAAGACATGACAGAGCTGTTGTGGATAAATCAGAGGCTTGATTTCATTATGTGTTCGTGTAATGATTTAATAGAGCCACACGGTTGATCTGTTTTTCTTGTTTCATACAGTGTCACTTATGGTTCATTAAGATGTTTGAGGAGGAAAAAAGTCAAAAACTCAAAAGCAAATATTTATCGTGACAGCAGTAATTGCCTCTGAGGGATAAATTCTCTCTTGACTACAAAATGAATAAAAAAATATGTTAAATTACTGTGTGTCACTGTTTTATAAAACTTCTTTTTTTCCTGCTAGTATGAGATTGTTTATGAAACAAAAATATAATCATTTTTGTTTTGTGAATGTTATTAAAATCCTTGTGCTTATCAAGATCGGCTATTTCCAAAGTCAAGAGTGCTGTGGCCCACTTAAAAACCAGCCGATCTCAAATCTTCAAAAATAAGCGAAAGGGTGTTGGCTGTAAATTGGTAATGCTAACCAGTCATATGCAGGCCAATGTGTGACAAACCTACCACTTGGACACAAACTTAAGTGCGACTTAAATTAATTCACTTACTTATACTGCAGTCCACCTGCAGTGCCTTCACAGCCTAGCAGCGGTCCCTGGTCCACACTTTGGGAATCGCTGATCTAGACAATAAAACCAAGGAAAGCCTGTGACTTCTAACCATCTTTTTACTGTATGCTACTCGGTTAAGGTTGTAGACATTATTTTATAAAGCACTAATCGATGCAGTCGCACATTTAGAGGACTGACAGGCTCATTAAACTTGCTGTTCTCACCTTCTGCAATAGCGGTGCACACCAAAAGTGACGTCATCTGCTGGCGCGAACTGTCCTTTTGTGTTTTGGCCGGTCATGCACCTCTGTTTCTGTAGCTTCAGGGTTGAAAACACGAATTTACGATCATGTGGGTTTTTTGTTTGTTTGTTTTTTTTAGTATAATATTGTATCTGTACAGAAGTTTGTTTACAGATTATACTGAGGGAAATGTTGTATCAGTTTGAATGAGGCTTTCAAAGAGACCGTGAGGAAAATGAGTTTGTCTTGAAAAAAACTTTGGAGCAAAAGAAGGAAAAACTCAGATTTCTTTTTTCCAGATTTTGACAACTTCTCCTGAACCAGTGCTGATGTGAAGGTTATGTCTGAAAAACAGGAGTGGTGCCTCAGTGCATGCCTCTGGCAACATGTATTGTATGTGGAATATTGCATTACTCATGCCCTCAGTGCTGGTATAAATTGTATGGAACTGTGGCGAAGTCACTGTTTGTGTGCAACACAACCAATACGTGAGATTGTTCCTGAAAAATGTTGTGGATCTGCTAGGCCATCAGCTCTTTGCTCTGGTTCATATGTCAGAGTGCATTATGTTCCCACTTCAGCACTGCATAGCTGGAGTTGGATAGAGTTATGGCTTTGCTCATCAAGTAATTACCATCATTTCTGTTGCAGTAGCAGCTTAATTATGTCCTGCATCCTACTACATAAAAGCTTTCCATTAGATGGGAGACAAAATGTACCTATTGCTCAGTAAAACACCACAATTAATAACTTTCCAGTTTATTTGACAGTTAAAATTAAGGTGGATGTTAGAAATGTGTTGTCATTAGTTAAATTACCTGAATAAACCTAGTTAAAAACTTGGTTTTTAACTTAAATATTCTCTAAAATGTTATTGTGTTAAATTCAATTTGGCTGAGCACATTTTGCAAGCCTCCCGTCTGCTCCAACAACCTGACATTTGCTGGGCTGCATATTAAATAAATTTAACTGACTTTGCTCTCAGTCTCTGTGCTGTAGTAATCATTAAACCCCGGTCATTTAAGATAATTTACTCACTGGTACAGACCGGAATAGCTCTCTCCTAACATGTTAAAAAAATCTCAGACCCTGCCAACGAAACGGTGTTCTGTGCTTGTATAAAATGAAAGTAGACTTGATAAAGTATGGATAATATCCGGGTGAGTTTCCTCTAGAGGATGGCAAAAGCTTCCCCGAGGTTTGTTGCATTGGCTCACAGCTTTCTTGTAATATTCATATTAGTGCTAGATTTGCCTCATCGAAGAGTCCATTTAACATGCAGTTTGCAATTCATGTTTTCATCTTTGTAGCTCTTGGATCTGTTTTGGTAAAGTGTAGTTTCGAATAATTGGTAGATGCAAACACATAAAAGTTGATTTTCAAGCAAGCATGTGCCTTCATAAATATTTAAACATCTTTCTGTAGCTTGTGTTTGCTTAGAAGCTTCTTTGTGCAAGGATTGAATTTCACCATTTCTTCTTTGCCTTTGCACTTTCTTTTTTTTTTTTAAAGATCTAAACAAAAGAGACAGTTTCCACCTAAAGTCAAATCTTACACAACATGGATTTTTTTTAATTAGTCTGTTTTACTGGAAAACTGACAAATACTTTTTATTCCTAAAACCATAAAATCCTTTTGTTATTCTTGCTACCCAAGTAAAATTTATGATTGTAGTTTCAGCGAACATTTTAGGAAGTGAAGTCTAGACTGTTGATTGGTACCTGTAAAACCTACATTTCTGCCTACATGCACAGCAGCTAAAACCCTTTCTTGGTTTCTAGTATACGTTGTCATATTTTAGGTAAAAAAAAGTGACATACCATGCTGCAGACTGGAGAGTTCTATATTTGTCTTAAATTTCAGAATTGTAGCTTTTCTCCATTAGTGAAGTCTGTCCTGATGCCAACTGGTTTCCTTTCTTTGTGTTTTCCAGAGAATGCCAGCTCCGATCAGACTGCGGGAGCTGATCCGGACTATCCGGACAGCACGCACCCAGGCAGAGGAGCGTGAGATGATCCAGAAAGAGTGTGCTGCTATCCGCTCGTCCTTTAGAGAGGAAGACAATACGTACCGTTGCAGAAATGTCGCAAAGTTGCTTTATATGCACATGTTGGGCTACCCAGCGCACTTTGGACAGGTATGTTTGGTTATGTTGGGGGGGCAAAGGAGTTTTAAGTTTGCACCTCTGAATATTTTGATGATGTGGTTTTTTTCCTTTTAGTTGGAGTGTCTGAAGCTGATTGCATCTCAGAAGTTCACTGACAAACGAATAGGTTATTTGGGAGCTATGCTGCTTTTGGACGAGAGGCAGGATGTCCATCTCCTAATGACAAATTGCATTAAGAAGTAAGTGGAGGCTACACTGGGTTAAGACACGCACACTTAAATAAAAAAAATAAAAAAAGTTTTAGTCCAGTACTTAAAATATGAGTTTATGGTCCCCTGAACACAGTTGAAAACCTTCTTCATCGACTTCTTCATAGTCTTCATAAGATTGTGAAGTATTCATATGCTCCTCTCTGGTATAGCATATAAAGTGACTCTTTGTTTCCATGACTTATTTGACTCTCTTCTCCCACACCAGTGATTTGAATCACAGCACACAGTATGTCCAGGGCCTGGCGTTGTGTACTTTAGGCTGCATGGGTTCTTCAGAAATGTGTCGTGACCTGGCAGGAGAGGTCGAGAAGCTGCTTAAAACGTCCAACTCCTACTTAAGGAAAAAGGTGAGCTTTACTCTTGTCATGTTTTAATTATCTACTATTACTACTTTAATAATGTGTTGGGGGTGAAAGGTAGGTATGTGTGCTGAGCACTTAACACCACACCCAACACTTAAAAAAAAAGGAGAGATTGTGTGAACGGCTTCAGCATATCTTATTTAAATATTTGTATATTTGTCTACAGGCGGCATTGTGCGCCGTACATGTCATCAGGAAGGTCCCAGAACTCATGGAAATGTTCCTTCCAGCAACAAAAAACCTGCTGAGCGAGAAGAACCACGGTAAGTGTAAATGGTTTGTCGGGATGCAGTTGCTGGCTCATGGGGAAATGCGGTTGTCCTGCACAAAAACGGAGTGTGTCCTCTTTCCTGCCAGTCATATTGGTCTGTTCATAACAGCTGGGCAGCTGATGCCCTTTCTCTGTCGTCCTTTGCAGAGGGTGGTGGAATTAATGAGTCTGTCAGATACTCCAGGGGCTTGTGTGTTATAGCATACAGAGGATATATCAAAGGAAAAGTTGTTTTGGCTTTTTTTGTTGTTGTTGTTGTTGTTGTTGTTTTTCTAACCCTTGTTGTCCTCGGGTCAAAAATGACCCGTAGGTGTATGGCAAACAAGTGTATGGGAATCCCGAGGACAGATAAAATAAGTTGTTGTTCTTAACATTTTGTGGCAGTGCAGTAATGTTTGCTTCTCATTATGCAGTTGTATTTTTATTTTATAAGTTACTGCTCTGTATTGCAAGATAGATTTCTACATACACAAAGCAATGTCAGGTATTGGTACTGTGGACTTTCCTATGCAACCACAATCATGCATATCGTTAACAGACCATGTGTCTGAATGTTGCCAGCACCCAGTCAAATCGATAATGTGACCAAGTTTCTAACTTTCAACATTTATTTTTATAATGTGACATATTTACAACTGTGTGGCTTGAAAACACAGCTGCCACTGCTTTCCACTGATGTCCTTAAGATTAGTTTTCAGCCTTGTAGCAATAATATAAGGTCACAAGGGAATGATTAGCCTGTTGGATATATTCAAGTCAGAGGCATGGTGCTGTCACCTGTTACAGTTACCATATATGGCATATTTTTCTGACTTGAGTCTCTGTGTGACTGCTCACTGTCCATCAAAGTGTTTAAATACTGATTTGTTTTGTTTTTTGTAGTAACAAATGGGTGATTCATAGAGCAAAACAACTCATGCTAGCATTTTCCTTGAAAGTGGTGTCATCCTGTCATTGTTTGGTCCCCCAGGTGTTCTCCATACATCAGTTGTCCTCCTCACTGAGATGTGTGAAAGAAGTCCTGACATGCTGGCCCACTTCAGAAAGGTACAGATTATTTTTTAAAGGACCTTAAAGAAGTTACTTATGCATTTGTCTTAAGGCCTATGTCACATTTCATTCTTCCTTTGCCTACACTTTTTCTTTTGTTGTAGCTAAGCTAGATAAGCATTTTAACTGTTTGAGAGGTTTCCTCGACATTCAGAGTATGTCTTAGTCTTTTTATCTCCTACCACTGTCTTTTCCTCTTGTATTTCAACTGCTACCAACTGTACCTTTCCCTCTCTAGGTGTAACAAAACTATGCCAGAGATCTCACTCCTCATGCTCATGATCTGAACATTATTTTTAAGCTCTCTGAAAGTGAATGATTTCCAGTTTTCCCCTCCCTAACATCTACCTCATATTTTTTCTGTCATTTGTCTTTGTTACAATTCCTGCATTGTGTTAGAATGAGAAGGTAAGAGTACATTCTGATCTCATAGCTGGTGCATGCTGTAAATAGTAATCACTCCTCACAGTCACCTCAAATGTAATCAGATTTGTGTTCAGTAATGTCATGTTGTGTTTTAATTTAGAAATCTTTTAATTTCTTTAACTTGTACGGTGATCATTACTGTCGGTGTTTTTGAATCTTATAAAGAGTTCTTGGTCCATTTGTCAGATACATTTCTCACTATTGTTTTGAATGTTTTTGAATTTTTTTGCCAAATAAGCCACTCATTTGATCAGTGTCTATTTAGAGGCAGTCAGGTTGGTGTGTTTCCACGTAATTGCCACAGGTGTTGTCACCAGTGAACAATGTTTTCACTAAATATCACTGTGAAAAGGCTTGGAAGCTTATTTTGTGACATCAGTAACTTTCTTAGCTATTTTTGACTTTTGAGAAAGAGTTTGGCAAAAGTTGCACTGGGATGTCATGTTAAGGACAAACTCAGTCTTCTATTTAAAATTTCCTTTTAATATCCTACTCTGATTTGGATTTTCTTTTTTCTTGTCGTACCTTCTGCAAAAAAAGATCTTGTCAAGTGAAATGGCCTGGAAAGCTTGATGTAGCAAAGCAGCATGAAAGTAAAATTGGAAAGCAAAAAGTTCTTCTGTCATCTCAGAACTGTTTTATTTACATGCTGCAAGCTTCTCACCTTAATTTTTAAGAATATACAACAACTGGGCTTGCATGCACTGTACTGCTAAACAAAGTTTTGTCTATAATTTCTGTTCCTTAAAGGATACGAATGAGGTAAAACACACAAAGTATGGGATATCACACCGCCACATGTCCTGGCTGAAGATACCTTTATTCACGGCAGATCAGTGATACCAAACTGTCATCACAGTCAGCCCTCAGTTCTTATGCTCTTCACCTTACTAAGAACACCAAGTCAGGAGAGCCAGCTACTGCTAGTTAACTTTGCTGTCTGCCGACTTGAAGTTGGCTTAACCGCCTCTGTTGGTTTTGGCTATCACTGTACAGTTGGTGTTGTAAGCTGCCCGTGTAGTGCTAATTTCGAGTTTCCCTGTGAAGCAGTTTTTTGCCTCTTGCACAAATTTTAGTTCTTCCTGCACATCAGTTTAAGTTCTGGCTTCCCTCCAGTGAAACACAAAAGTAAATGTATCCCATCCCTATTACACTAATAGGCATGGTTGAAAATGGTACCCAGTTTTCTGATTTAGTGCTGTGTAAGATGCCAAACTATTTCCCAAACTGTCATGCTTTGATGACCAGTTGTTTTTTGTTTTTGTTTGTTTTTAAAGCCCTGAAAAACTGAAACTATGTAGGATAGATGATATTAATGTGATGGGAAGTTTCCTGCTTTAATGCACTTTATGTTAGAATTAATTTAAACTAGTGCTACTACTCTTTGCTTAGCCATGCTCAAAACCATAGCAGTGTGTATGCAGAGTTTCTTTTTCTCTCGAAGCCAGATGTTCTAACCCAATACATTTGTACAGTCAAGTTTTTGATTTCACAATCTCAATTAGTCACACACGTTTTAACCATATTGCTCTGCATCAATAAACAAGAATCCCAACCCCTTTTGCATTGCATAAGAACTTGCTGCTTTAACTGAGAAATCGTTAACTTCAAACATTAATAGTAGTGTTACACACATTAATGATTTAAAGAATCATATTTCAGAGAGTTTAACAAAATATTGTGACACCTCTTCTCGTTTTTGTTTTTTGTAGCTTGTTCCACAGTTGGTGAGAATCCTGAAGAACCTAATAATGTCTGGATACTCTCCTGAGCATGATGTGTCAGGCATAAGTGACCCTTTCCTGCAGGTAAATCTCACTTTTTTCATTATACAATTACCCGGTACAACAGTTAACAATCATCTAATGATGATTGTTAACCATCATTAGAATTTAGACTCACTGCACTCTTTATTAGGTACACCTGGCTAGTATCAGGTTGGAGCTCTTTTGACTTCAGAACTGTCTTAATTCTTCATTGGACATATTCAACAACGTGAGTGTGGTCATAAAGGGACGGGCGTGGCCAGCAAAAATGGTGTTTTTTTTTTTGTTTGTTTGTTTTTGTTTTTGTTTTTTTGTTTGTCTTTGTCTTGCTTCTGTAGCCCATCTGCTTCAAGGTTTGACATATTCAGAGGTGATTGGTGTACTTGGTATCTGAAACAAGTGGTTATTTTGAATTACTGTTGCCTGACATGTCTGGCCATTCTCCTCTGAACTCTGGTATCAGCAAGACGTTTTTACCTAGAGAGTTGTAGCTCACTGGATTTTCAGTTTTAAAAAAATCTTTCTCTGTAAATCCTTGGGAAGTTTGTGTGGGGAAATCTGAGTAGAGCAGTTGCTAAAATACTCTGCCTGGCTGGCACCAGCAAGCAGGTTTATAGTTATTTCTTCCTCATTCTCACACTTGGTATGAATTTCAGCAGGTTGTCTTGACCACAGATGCATTGAGTTGCTGCCAATGATTGGCTGTTGAGAGAAAATGGCAGCAAGCAAGGAGCGGCTTGTGAGTAACAATAAAGTAAATCACATTTGACAGGACTGCTGCTTCTTCTTTTTCTTAGGTGCGGATATTGAGACTACTGCGAATTTTAGGCAAGGGTGATGACGACTCCAGTGAAGCAATGAATGACATTCTTGCGCAGGTTGGAATTGGAAAAAAAATTGTTTAGATTTAAGTCCTCACATATTAAGTGTTGTTCTGACAAATCCACGGTCTGTATACTTGCAGGTTGCTACAAACACGGAGACGAGTAAAAATGTAGGCAATGCAATCCTGTACGAGACTGTACTGACTATAATGGACATCAAGTCTGAAAGTGGACTGAGGGTGAGTTCATTTTAGGAAAAGGTTATGAGAATCTTTTTGAAACTTTTAACTCATCTGAATGCTTGTTTCTTTCTTACAGGTCTTGGCCATTAACATATTAGGTCGCTTCCTTCTTAACAATGACAAAAATATAAGGTAAATAAATTGCCTGGAGTATTTCACCTTGAAGCCATCGATTTTATCTAAAGTTTGATTAAAACCTGTCGACATTTCTTTAATCAACTTCAGGTATGTGGCATTGACATCTCTACTAAAGACCGTACAAACGGACCACAATGCAGTGCAGAGACATCGGAGCACCATTGTGGATTGTTTAAAAGACCTGGACGTGTCCATCAAGAGGTGATTCACGGTGCTACACATAACTTAACATGTCATGCTGTTTTGGGGTTTTTTGCCTTTTTTTTCTGACCCTCGTCTGTTTTTCATTACTGTGTAGACGTGCAATGGAACTGAGCTTTGCGCTTGTGAACGGCAACAACATTAGAGGCATGATGAAAGAGCTGCTCTACTTCCTGGACTCCTGTGACCCTGAATTCAAAGCAGACTGTGCATCAGGAGTGTTTCTAGCTGCTGAGAAGTATGGCACTGATATAGACTTCACCACACTTTACAAGTTTAGCCACTGCTACTTTGTTGAAGTGTAAAACACATGCTGACTGACCTTGTCATGTTTTCTGGGTTTCACTTTCTCTCTTTTTGTGTGTGTTTTCTTTACTTTAAGCATGAAAGGTTCTGGTTTGGTACTACTTGGTACAAGTTAAATGTATCTATATGAATTAGAAAATCTAGTATATATCTTTCTTTTTATGGCCAGCACAGAAATGCTGTATGATGATACAATGAGTGATCCATCGTCTGACAGACTTTGTTGAGACCTTTATTCTCTGACAGCATTTATCTCCTAGCAGTCGACGCTCTTCTGAATTTAATACATTTACATTTTTAGGCCATTGCTGGGCCTAATGGGTGTATTGTTTATCTTACAGATATGCTCCTTCAAAAAGATGGCACATAGACACCATTATGAGAGTCCTGACAACCGTAAGTAAAATACACAAAACTCTAATGCCTAAAAAGTCCTTTGATTGTTGTTTAGTTCACTAGTAGTTTGTTCTGGGTATTACATTTGAGTACTACAAATCAAATAAATCTAGTAACAGTACTCCGTGGCCAACTGAGGTTTAGTTTACTGCAGATCTACAGGTAAATAAAGCTTGTTCGCGTTTCTCATTGATGTTTCTGCTCATCCTTCCAGGCAGGGAGCTACGTGCGAGACGACTCCGTTCCTAACCTCATCCAGCTCATCACAAACAGCGTGGAGATGCACGCCTACACAGTACAGAGACTTTACAAAGCTCTGCTGGATGACATCTCACAGGTTCGTCTCCGTGTTTGTAGCAACCTGCAAGTTCTCGCAGCATTTCTTGTTTGGGTCATGCTTAGATTTGTGATGTCTCCATATTTTTTATTTATTAATTTTTTTGTAGCATACATTAATAGAATGTATTACACAAAACTTTGGTATTTCAAACTAGTGTGAGAGGGTGATTTCTATTTCTGTGTTGTGTAGCAACCTCTAGTGCAGGTAGCATCCTGGTGCATAGGAGAGTATGGGGACCTGCTTGTGTCTGGGCAGTGTGAAGAGGAGGAGCCAATCCAGGTACACAAACATCTCAAGAGCATATACAAAAACAAGATTTAAGATGATAATAACCTGCTCATGAGATTTTCTGTTTTCCTCTTTTCTTTTTGAACAAAGGTGACTGAGGATGAGGTTCTGGACGTGCTGGAAGGCCTCCTGGTGTCCAACCTGTCCACACCTGTGACCCGGGGTTACGCCCTTACAGCTATCATGAAGCTGTCTACTCGCTTCACTAGTGTAAAGTGAGTAATGGCTTTTTAAACTTACAGTGGCTAAGTCTTTCTTTTGACTTACTGTCACATGATCTTAAGATGGTTACATGTGTTATTCGGTGCAGCATTTCCTTTGAGAGAGTTTGAAGGGGTTTTCACTGGACCCTAAATATATGAGTGTTTATTATTGGTAATAAGAAATAACAAGACATAGCGTCATAATACATAAAGCACTTGTGTCTCACTTTTTAAGCTCGAGTGTGTTTGAAAAACAATCCATGTTTTGAAAATAATAATAAAATAAAGTAAGAAATAAAGTTTGTGTAATAACCAGCTCTACCTTCACTTTTTGTTTCAGTCGAATCAAGAAGGTGGTCTCGATATATGGCAGTAGCATCGATGTGGAGCTTCAGCAGAGAGCTGTGGAGTACAATGCGCTTTTCAAGAAATACGACCATATGAGGTGAAACTACTTTACTAGGAAATTACTCATATCTGTGACGGGCACATTGTAGCACTGAGTAGATTTAAGGGCGGGGAAAAAAAAGCTCAAGTGGTTGAGTTTGGTCTGTCTTTTGTCCTTGTTTGTTCCCTGACAATAGGCCAGCTCTCTTAGAGCGAATGCCCATTATGGAGAAAACTGCTTCTAATGGCCCCACAGAGATTGTACAGACTAATGGGGAGGCTGAGCCGTCTGTTGTGGAAGCAAAACATCCACCACCCGTCACCCAGCCAACCAACCAGGTAAGAACTGTTTTCAGCCTTTATATTATCACGAAAAACACACGTCTGTAATCAAATGAACAATTAACAGGATAGATCTATTTGTCTTAAGTTTCTTTAGGAAACCATATTTTTATTGAATTTAGAACCAGCTTCATTTAAGTCTGTTGATCAGTATTTTATTTTTGTAGTATCATTAAAAATGGTATACATGTACTTATCATGTTAATGTCTTGTCCCCATTCCACAGGCTAATGATTTATTAGACTTGCTGGGTGGTAACGATGTGGTGCCGGTAATTCAGACCACGGTGCCCACTAAGCCAGCTTCAGCAGGAGGAGAGCTGCTTGATCTACTGGGTGACCTCTCACTTAGTGGTAGAGTACTCTGTTTACACATTTATTACACCTTTTATTTATTTATTTTTTTAAGAGCCTGCTATAAAACTTGAGTTTGACTTTTTGCTTAATGAACTAGAAATTGCACTTGCAGTGATTACAGCAGTACTTGAAAAGCAAAGCAGATACCCAAAATGTTGGACCAAGTATATCAGCATTCTCACTTGCCACTTTTATTCCAGCTATGTTTCTAAAGTTATGATTTTTCTGTGATTGTGTGACTGGATAATAATAATAATCATGTTAATTCTGAACACAACACATGCTCAGTAATGCTGCAATGCCCCCTTAAACCCCTTGAAAATGACACATCAGTAATCTCTGCATGTCATCATTGTGTGTCCATGCCCTCTTAAACCCTCGTATGTTGCTTCCTCCTTCCCAGGCGGTCCAGCCCCTGCTCCTGCAACCTCAGTGCCCTCTTCCCAACCCGCTTTCCTCTTGGATGGCCTCACCTCACCGCCCCTTTTTAATGACATTGCAGCTGCAGGTGAGAGTATGTTTCTCACCTTGACCATCCACTGCCACATATACACTATTTTATGACATAATCCTTACATAATACAGCACTTGGTCATTTTTTTTTTTCTGGACTTACCCAACCTGTGAAGCGTTAGTACTGTAACATCTACATTTTTTTAATCATCTGCTCCTCTCTGTATAGGTATCCCTCCTATGACGGCGTACAACAAGAATGGCCTGAAAATAGACTTTACATTTGAGAGAGCTAACCCCAACCCCAACATCGCGGTTATCACTATCCACGCATCCAACTCGACAGAAGCAGACATGACCGATTTTGTTTTTCAGGCTGCAGTACCAAAGGTGAGCAGCCCAACACGGGTATTATGTGACGAAAGTGTAGTTAATTCCTAATCACGACAGTGTTCGTTTTCATTTAGCTCCATTATGTAAATGGGTTTCCACTGACATTAGGCTTAGTCAGTAACTCACAGTGCCAATAATGTGCTTGTTCTGTAGGCTGAACCTGCATGAATGTTGTAAATATTGGATCTGTAAGCTGGAAACACTACTGAGCAGTCAGTGCTAGTGGGAATTAATTATTAATAGACTTGCAGTGTCTTTGGTATGCTGTTTTTCTCTGTTATCCGCAGTACTCTCAACTAGTTGTGTTTAATTATTATTTAATGCAGGAATGCTTATTTTTTTCAGATCACATGACACATTGCTGTTAGTACTTTAATTAATATTTATGTTGTGGTAACTGTTGCTGTTACTGGATCTTTAGTAACTGCCCTGTGGTCTCTTGTTTACCTGATTTATCTTCAAACTTCTCAACTCTTCAAATAGTATTTTTCCATAGTAATGGGCTTTTAAAACAATACTGTTAGTTTCATGGGGAAATGTACAGTTTTTATATTCTAATGTTGACGTTCCTATGAGTGTAATTTAAGTGAAGTCTCACTATGCGCTCTTGTTTTTGTAGTCTTAAAGTAATATCTGGTTATGTTGATTTAAATAAAACCAGGGTTTCTGCCCGCATACTGCAAAGGGGGGGCCTAGTGGGTGTAAGTTGACCACCCACCTTGCATATGTGCCATGGAATATTTTACAGTCGTCTTATCTAATGAATAAATTTCATAAAGTGGTGATGAGTGGCTTCGAGTGACCATCGATCAGTTGCTGTCTAGTGTCCGTATTTTAAGCTGCTCTTATGACCCCAATTCTTCTGTGGTATCATTAAATTTTCATCTAACTCGCCGTCCCCTCTCTGTTTGTCAGACATTCCAGCTGCAGCTCCTTTCCCCTAGCAGTAATGTCGTCCCAACACTTAACCAGGGAACTGTCACACAGGTCATCAGAGTACTCAACCCACAGAAGGTGAGTTTCTTTTTCTCAGATTGTAACGAATACATATTTGTTTTTGTTTTTTCTTTTTGTCCTCATGAGGAGTTTCCTTTTTTATAAATCCATCCACCCCTCCCAAATTTCAGCAACAACTACGAATGAGGATCAAGCTGACGTACACCCACAAAGGCTCAGCTGTGCAAGACCTGGCTGAGGTTAATAACTTCCCCCCTCAGTCCTGGCAGTGATGAGCTGCTCCTGTTGCTCTCAAAAGCCCCAAGCAAGGGAACTATGAAAACGATTTTCCTTTCACCTCCCACCTTTCTTCCAACGGCCCCCCGTGACATCAGTGCAGACAGCTGCCCTCAAGTTGCATGGGGAGCAGCAAAGCATTGAATACAGGAGAAAAATGCAGATGTTACGAAGACCCTATTGACTATTGACATCACACGAATAATTGGGTAAACATATCAATCAATGAACTTTTCTTATTTGTTTTTCTTAATTGGTTTCCTGATCTCTTTGATTAGTATGTTTCTCTCACACACACCCTTTGCCCGGCACCGACATCACCCACAAAAGCACACACGCACACCATTCACTGTGGTACACTTTACTTCTCTAGTCACTGTAGAAGAAAAGTGTTGCCCACTAATAAGCACTGCAGTAACCATAGTTTTATTTGGACTTGCAGGTGGAAACCCTGCTCCCTTGACACTTATGATTGGCTTTGCATTTGGGTGTTTTACCTATGAACCTTCAATCCTACAAAGGCAGCAGGAAAAAAAAAAGCTTTGAGAAAGGTCTATTCAGTGCAGTCACACACTTGTTGGGTAACCTCGTTTTTGATCCGCCACATCATGAGTGATATAACTTGTCAGAGTTGTATTCATTTTGAATTACATTAATTTGCTTAAAGCATGTTTGAGCATCGTTAGGATCACAATCACACCTGGACTTCGTCTTTTCCGACTCTGACTGTAGGCCTCTTTATCCTATGTTTCTATAGGGAATCGTCTGCGTTAGTTTGTCACATTAAGAACAAACAGATCCAAGATGCTCACTTTGATCACCTGTGGCTAATTTCATAGAACCTGCTCAGCTCTTATCTCATCTGTAGTAAAGCAGCAGCTTTTAGATCAACGTAAAACATTCAACTGTTCATTGCTTTGCTTCGTCTGAGGGTGTTCATTCGTTAGAGTGGATATAATCCAGGCCTAAAAATTGATCTGATAATAAGTTTGTGTTTTTAAACTCTTCCTGCATCTGTGTCCCGAGTCTAGATGAGTTACATTTCAGATTTATTTACCCTGGTTGAACGTGGTCACCATGCACATACATGTAAATTAAGCTTGTTATGAATGTAGTTACATGCACTGAATGCTTTTATTCCCCCTTAATTCTTTTTTTTCATGTCTTCTTTGATGGGGATGCTCATCTTACTGGCACTATTTGTGTGAAAGTCTGTTTATCTCTGCAGTAATTTGACTTAATTTATGCCTGATATCAAAGTGATGTGCCTTTCTGACTTAGCTAGATAAAAGCCCCTGAATTTATTGAGTTCTGTATGAGCTTTGTTTGTAAGTCTGCTTGTGTGATGGTCCTGTTTTCAATCTGAGGGGGTAAATGATCCCGGTGGATTAGAATGGGTATGTCACTTGATTTGATTTAGCCTTTTCACTGCTTAGTCTAATGACGAGTTAAAAATCAGTCACCCCCAAATCAGTCTCACGAGCTCACGAGGATGTCAGCAGTAATGTTTTTCTAGTTTTGACACATACGTATTTTAATCTTCTTGGTTGTTTCTTTACAGTGTGGCAGATTTTTTTCCCCCCCCCATTAAAATACCTGATGGATGATGATGACTAAACAAACAAAAACAAAGATAATGGCAGCTAATAGATGTAAACTTTTCTTAAGCTGGCATCGAGGTTTCAGGTGTTTTTTGCAAACTATCAATGTACAAATATCACTACAACGCCCCCTTTTAAGTCAACAAAACTTAAAATGTGACTTTGAATCACATACTGGGACAGGTTCTTCTTTGGTGACTGTTTGTTTGATGATTGGAGTATGATTTCTTTGCTCTCGTCCTCTCCAAATCAGAATTCTGACCATGCTGTTGGGGACGGTAACCTTAATACCTCACAATGCTCTTTCTTTCTGTTAACCTTCAGTGGCAGTAGATTGACATCTTGCTTAGTCACAAGTTAGAATCCAGGGGGAGCATCTGCATGAGAGAAACTAACAGTAGTTTGTGCATCTCATTACTTAACCTTAGCAGCCCTGTGACGATGCTGTGCTGATATCTTCATCAGGCTGTGTAATTATTTTCACTATGCTTCACTGTCTTCTAACTTCTGTGACCAAATCAGAGAGACTATTAGCTTTGGAAATATTTTTGAGCTATGATATGTGTATATGGAGAAAATAATTTCAGTTTAACTTTTTTTCTTCTTTTCTGTTGTTGACAAATGCTATATTGGCTTTTTTTCTGTACATATTGAGGGCTTTTACAATTTTTGTCTCTTGTACTATCTTTCATCCTTTTTTTTTTAGATGCCATTTTCTAAAAGAAAATTCCAATTATTCACAATGTATATTGTCTAAATAGATCTAGTCAACGTTAGTCTATTAAGACTTCCCTGTATCATCACTCATTCATTGTAAAAGGTATTTGATCTGCTGCCTGTACATTGTATATAGTTGTAAAACGAACGCTGATCAGATTAAATAAAACCCACATGAAGACTTAAAAAGATTAGCTAGAAAGTATAATTGTATGCATATATGTACAAAAAGAATCTTAAGAAGGATGCAATTGACATGCTCATGATTTACTATTTGTCATGCTTCATTCATGATGTCGTCTTTTCTTTTACGATGATACTTTGAGTCATTGGGCCACATGATGGGGTTTTGTTTTTTTTTTTGGATGTTGGGGGGAAAAAAGGGTTAAATCTGTCCTAACAGATGTTGTATGGGTGATGTACTACTGAGAAACCTAAGCACAGTGCTGCACAGAGGCAGCAGCAGAAATGGCACCCTGCTCCATCTGCTTCTCTGCCCCTCAAACACCTCATGTACCCGTGGCTTCCTGTGGAAGAGCAGCGGCTTATTTACCAAGAAGCTGCTCTTCCTTCTGGCCTTATGTGCACTCTTTGACAATTCACCTCTATTAAACGCTTTTCAATCTGCAAATTGTTTTGTGAAATGAAGCCCCCCCCCTCTTTCTTCATTATTCTGGTGTGTGATCTCTCTTAGCTGCCTGGTTGTCTTCTTGTTTTTGCATCTTCCCAAACAGTCAAGGCCCTTATCAGTGCCACACAAAGGGGTTTTTCAGCTCACCACGATGGATATTTTGTGCGCTCGCTGTATTCAGAACAACACAGTGCTTTCTTTTGGGTCCTTTTTTTTAGTCCATTATAGCATGGCGCAACTTTCAGTAAACGCTTTGTGATCTCCAATATACCAGTTAAAGAGAAAACGATCTGGGTCCTCGCTATTCTAAACCAGACTTTAAGTGGCTGTAAATCAAGGCAGGACATGATGAACAGCAGTGGGTGGATTCTTTTTGTCTGAGTCTTTATAATTTTGTTTTTAATCCATTTCTGCTGTTGAAGAACTAAAACAAAACTGGGGCAGAGGGGAAAAAGCCTGTGTAGCTGGCTAATAACCACAAGGGGGAGCTGTGCAAAATGGAAGGCTGAAGGGATGGGAAAGGAAGTTTGATACTCCTACTGTTCCTGAATGTTTTTGTGTTGTTTGTATTGTCTTACTCAACCAGTATGTACCCTTGTCCGTCACATTAGATGGTTTCTTTTGATGATTCAGTCATTCATGCTGTTTAAAACCTACAAATGGAAATGAACCCAACATAAGTGCTTTGGACACTGTAACTGTAAAAGGAAGAGAAGAAATGGAATCAAGTACTCATCAGAGGTGTGTGTGTGTGTGTGTGTGTGTGTGTGTGTGTGAGTGAGAAAGAAAGAGTCATGCCCGAGAGGATGTGATGGTGTGCGACATGTCTTCTGTCTACATAGGACATGATTTGTGGCTGCAATTGCTTTCAGCTTCTGAGCTGCATGTGAAAACCAGTGTAAATAACACCATTTCTACTCTCGATCTAAGACTCTTTTTGAAGTGCTAGAAAAGTTCCAATTATACAAATCTGTCACACCACCTTCATGGGTCAGTACTAACATGTACAATAAGGAGTTGTTGAAATAGTGCTCACATTGCTCTCGATGTTTTTAAAGCATCTGTTATTTGGTTTATTGATTATTGCTTTTTTTGTTCGTTTTGTTTTTTGGATTTTTTTGTTTTTTTTGTTGTTGGGGTGAATTCAGTGTGCAAAGGGCTTGGGAAAGCGTCTGAATTGCCACCACGTTCATGAACTTCCCCTGTTGAATTAAAAAAAATAAATAAATAAATAAAAATGCATCTGCTGTATTTTGAAAACCGAATCTGTACATGCACACACCCGAACTCCTGACCTGCCCTGACTGAAAACAAAACTGTATCTGATTAGTTGGGGGAGGGTGAAGGCATGAGGTTCACTTTTGACTCGTATGAACTGTTATCACAGTTCTGTGGCTTCAAGGTGAGTGTGAATGTCAGACTGAAAATATAAAAGGATGACTAAAGATGAAGAGTTGTAAACTATTAAATGGGATATTTTCAATTTATGCTGTGTATTGTCTTTGGGTTGGAGAAAATGATCAAGCGAATAAAAAGTCAAAAATCTACACGAGCTACGGTAGTTTTCTTTTGTGCTTTGGGGTCTTGTGTGTAAGAGTCTACTGAAAAGAAATGCTGGGCTTAAATTATTCATTTAATATTTATACCAAGGATGGATCATTTCTAATTGTTTTATGTCCTGTTTATCAAATGTTGAAAACTGGGATAAGAATGAGATATAAATAGAAATGAGTTTATTGCTATTATAATCACCTAGATTTTAAAAATGTTTTGTGCTGTTAATATCGACTCAAAGTATGAGTGGATCTGTGAGTGCTATGTATCTGTTTTTAATCAACATTTAATATCCATGACTGGACCTGGGTTAAAATTAAACTGACCTTTATGATATAGAGGGGAGATTTAAGAAAGCGCCAAAAGGTATGTTTCTAATGTTTCAGGATCCTGGCATTTGTGCCTTATTGTGAGGGAGTTCTACAAAATGAAATGTAAATTGTAAGGCATTCAGAATTGAAGTTCTAGATTAGTCAGCATATAACACTTGGATTTGTGGCCCCTTGAGTAAATTGCTTACTCAAACCCTCTGGCCAAAATGAAGCGTCTACTGCACAGTTTCTAAATGATTGCAACCAAGTGAAATGATCATAAAGGTGTCAAAGAGCAATCTAAAAAGGTATGGGAGTCATTTATCTATCATCATTTCTTAGGTTCATATAGTAAGACAAGAAGATCAGGTTATTTGCTTTAGAAATGACTAACTGTAAAAAAAAAATAATAAAAATGTGTCTGAAGAGAAGCCTTGTTTTGTTTCCGGTTTTCAGAAATTTTCTCCTTGTTGACTGGGTACTTTTCACTCACGATTTAGTCACGTGAAAGGGTTTTCACAGGACTCCAGGCTGCCTAATGAAAATCTAAATGCACAGTTACTCCCTCCATAGGAATTAAGAGTGTAAGTAGCAGGCAGGTGCTGCTAGCATTTGATCAGTGTGATCTGGAACATTCAGGTGTGTGACGATGCTACAGTCTTGCCAGGAATGTGTATCACTTCAAATTCACTCGAAAGTCAGACTCTGTGATGCTCGGGGAAATTGTAAAACAAAAACAAACAAAAAA